AAAGCATTCTTCTTGGTCTATTCGTTGTGACGGATAAAATCGTATAAGTTCAGCACTCAGCAGTGGATTCACTTCAATTGATGCCATTTTAAGACAGAGCCCATTGCAAAGAATCCTTGTTGTTACTAAATGTGCATACAAAGCCTGTGAATAGCGTTAATTTCCCTGCCATGCGCATATCTTTCTTTTTCGTGGCTGTATCCTGATTAGGCATCATCTTGTCCGCAATATGCTTATAGACTTTTCTATTCAGCATTAACTTAAAAAATAAAAAAGTCGTCATACCATCTGAAATCGTTATATATAATTGTCTTGGTATTATAATCAATTTTATAATAAGTGTTTCCTCTCCGATAGCATAAGCAAAATTAATTTTAGGAAATCTAAATTGTTTTATCTTTTTCTGAAAGTAGAATAAAAAACAAAACTAAAAATCAAGTTCTTTTTTCAAATAATAGACAACTTGAATTAATTATAATTAATGTTTATAAGAACAATTTTATATTACTATTAGAAGGAATGTTTAGAGCACTGATTACACTTACGTTTCCTGGTTAGCGCTTATTTTATGGCATGTTGTATTTTCCAAATTTTACTTCCAAAACATAGAAAATACCTTCCAGCCTGTGACGATACCACGTATACGCCAATGAACCTGAACGGTATCATTTTCAGAATGCATTATGATCTTTAGGAAGTCAAGCTTGACGTGTGCAAACTTCATATGACCAATGAACCTTAATAGTATCAATTGCTTCGCATAACACACAAATCCCCTGCAATATTTTTTAAGCATATTATGAGAAAATGGAAATACTTAATGCTAAAAACTATCAATTGCTTTGAATACTTAATAAAATTAATTTTCGTTACTTCTCTAATATTGTTGATAAAAATTATATCATAATAATGGATAATAGGGACTCAATTCACAAATACTTTAGCATAACTTGCCTACAATACAAATTGCGCTACAGAACACTTTCTCGTTCTTTTCAACTTTTAAAATTTACAAGAAAGCATATACGTACATACATGTGCAATTTTGGATACACCTTCCTTCTTAACGATCTCTTCGGTATCAGCTCCCTGCGGTCAATATATAGCGGCAAAATTGTACACCACATAGTTGAATATAAAATGTTCCTGCGTGAGAAAACGAGAGAAAAGGAGGACAATTATAAGAGGACCTCTTGTGCTAGACAATTATTCCTCAACTGTGTCTGAGAATTATTATATTTTGAAGACGCGAGATTGTACACTT